ACATAAACCGAAATCAAGAATTATATGACTAATGCCATGCATCGAAATGTTGTCGAGCCTTCATTAATTGAAATAATAATAGAAGTGAAATCAATAGATGTACATTGCTTTGTCCTTGCTTCTCCGGCTCTTGATTGAGAATAAAGTTTTCCATCACTTGTTTTTAAACTTATCGACATATCTCATTCAGCTTTCAGCAGCTCATTAGAAGCTATACAGTATAAACGTACTGATAAGTTGGGGGAATAGATTATTAATTAATATATAAAAGCTTAGGTTTGAGTTACTATTTATTAGTGACTCTCACACTCTTTCAAGTGCAAGTGTGGAAGTTCTAAGTCCTTCTTTTACCCCGCTCTCCATTCTACAACCTTTGTGTTTAGTTATTGTTAGCTAGGTTTTCGTCTATGGTTTTTTGCACAAATGAGTTACTATTCATTAGTGGCTCTCACACTCCTCCAAGTGCAAGTGGGGAAGTTCTAAGTCCTTATTTTACCCCACTCTCCATTCTACAACCTTTGTGTTTAGTTATTGTTTGCTAGGTTATTGTCTATGGGTTTTTGCACAAATCAGCCTTTATGTTTTGTTATTGTTCGCTAGGTTTTCGTCTATGCCTTTTCGCACAAATCATCGCCTTCATGTTTAGTTATTGTTCGCTAGGTTTTCGTCTATGGTTTTATTCGCTTTTTTAATGGACATGTTGGGTAAATTGCGAATTTGTTAAAACTGGATCGACCCTACCAAAGCGAGTTGAACTCAGTTTTGAGAGTTTGTGGTCATGAGCGAGTTTTATCCGCGTTAGTATTTTTTTATAATTTTCCTTTTGGTTGAGAATGACAATTGAGTCCAAACTCATGGGTATACAACCTAATTTGACCCGGCCAAAGCAACTTGAACCCGACTTGAACCCGATTTTACAGGTTTTCGGCGGGACCGAGTTTTTTCTATGATTGTAATCCGCGTGTTGTGCCCGGTGTAAATTTTCCCAAAAATTGTTCCAACAAGGTCAGAGCGAGTTGAACCTGGTGTTGATGAGTTTTGAGTCGGTAGCGAGTTTCAGCTTTAGTGATTCATTTTGCTTTTTCCTTTTTTTTAGAAAGATAGTTGATCCCAAATTCATGGGTATCCAAACCTAATTTGGCTCAATCAATGCGAGTTGAACATTTTCAAACCTGCAATCAGTCCAAAATTTTCATAAAGGAGAACAACGATTACCTCAAAAAAAAAAAAAAAAGAACGCCTATGCTTGGCAAGAATTTTAGAAGTTTTATTTTTCAAAAATTGAAGCCAAGCCAAACACCTCTAAAGTTTTTCTTTTTAAAAGCAGAAGCTCCGATTTGAAAATACAAAATTGTCCTTACCATATATTATTCTTTTTCTAGAAAATATAATTTTCTTTCATATATATCATTTTAAATAAATAAATAGAAATAATATGATTTAATATGAAATAAATCTTTATTTTTTAGAATTTGTATTCATATTTTATTTTAGAAATGTTTTTTAATCATTTTTCATTATCTCTTATATTCAAACCCAAAAAAAAGAACGACTATGTTTTGCTAGAATTTTAGAAATTTTAAATTTCAAAACTTGAAGCCAATCCAAACACCTCTAAAGTTTTGCTTTTTAAAAAACTAAAGTTTTTTCGTAACTTAAAAGTAGAAGCTCCGATTTGAAAATACAAAATTGTACTTACCATATATTATTATTTTTCTAGAAAACATAATTGTCTTTCATATATATCATTATAAAAAAATAAACTGAAAATAGTATTATTTAATATGAAATAAATCTAACGTGATCCATTTTAAATAATTTTTTTACTTTTTAGAATTTGTATTCATATTTTATGTTAGAAATATTTTTTCGTCATTTTCATTACCTCTTATATTAGAACGTAATTATGATAGTTTTCAAATAAACACTCAACAGTTTCTTTTTAAATATTTCTTGAAAAGATTCAGAAAAGTTACAGCAGGATCTACTACTAGTCATACAAATTGAAATATTAACGTGATGAAAGAAGTTTAAACATAAATAATCTATTCGACGACCTCTCTACCTTATGCAAGTTCATCGGCCATATGTTATTGTAAATAACAAACCTATAAAATGAAGGGTTAATATTTTTGTATGGCCTGAACTTCGACCAAAATAAACATCTTGGCCAATCTTTTCGATCTATAATATCCTGGCCCGAACTATACATCAAAATAAACAATTTGACCAGATCCGACTTTTGATCGTTAACTTGGACGGTCAACACGCCATGTCACTGCCAACTCAGCAAATTTTAATTAATTTTTTTTAATTTACACCTATTTTCATTTTCCTTTCCTTTATCATTTTGAACGAAAAACAAAACAAATTTTCGTTTTATCATTTCCAAACTGATAAAGGAAAGGAAAATAAAAATAGGTGTAAATTAAAAAAAATTAATTGAAATTTGCTGAGTTGGCAGTGACATGGCGCGTTGACCGTTCAAGTTAACGGTCAAAAATCGGATCTGGCCAAATTGTTTATTTTGATGTATAGTTCGGGCAAGGATGTTATAGATCGAAAAGATTGTATTTTGGTCAAAGTTCAGGCCATACAAAAATATTAACCCTAAAAAGAATGATTAAGAATGAAATAAGATTACCTTCACTTTTGGGTCAACATTAAAACTATTAATCTTTCAAATATTTATTTTTCTTATACGCGAAACGATAGCGAGTTGACTTTTGCTAGTCTATATAGAATTGAATTGCCATTGCATGCATGACTGTTCTCATTTGCCTACTTTCAAGCATTGTTGACACCATATAACTCGGTTGAACTGAAAATGGCGAATATCGAACATTAATTGATAGATTGTTTTAGTGGTATGAAATGATTGAACTATAGTTCAACCACGATTTTAGTATAAAATATTCTATCACTAAATTTTAGTGTATAATTTTGAATACGATTTCACAATTCTTGCTTTCTAAGTTCGTTGTTATTATGGTGGCTCTGAATTCTTGCTTTCTAAGCTCGTTGTTATTATGGTGGCTCTTCAGATTTTTATCCATAGGTGCTGAGTGGGTAAACTTGAATAATGGGTGGGAGAGGATGGACGGTGGGATCATGCTCAATATTCACTTCTCATGGTGGTGCTGGGCTGTTCCCCGCTGCACGCTGCCTTTCCTGACATTTTCTCAATTTCAACTGTTTCATATTGACCATTAATTGTGTCCCGAATAGTGTAAAGAAAAAGAAACTTCTATTTTGGTGGGAGGATATTAGGATAGTAATGGCGTGGGTTTATCAATCATCTATATGTTTCGGTTTTTAAATATCCAAATTCATAATTGTCTCATATCTCTATAAAAACCATCCAAATTCATAATTGTCTCATATCTCTATGTAGCGGAAAGTTTTACAAACTCATCCTCATACTATTGGATTTCGGGTACCCATGAGTAATACTCAGCCGCTACATCAAACATTATAATACCTAAATTTTATATGTAATTTTCAATTATAACACTAAATACACGTACTATATCATGAAATCGACAAAGATACAAGCATTCTTAATACGATTCAAACCATTTTATCTTAAAATATCCATAAATACATAAGATATAGTATAATGTAATCCAAACCATTAAACTCTAACTCTGATACATCTACAAAATAATAACTAATTAACATAATCTTGTTGTTTGGGGAGGTTAAACCCTTGTGAACCTATGCCGCTGTCCTTTATTGTTTTGTTTGTAGAACTTCTCTTGTTTTGGTTTAATGCAATTCACCATTATAAAAAAAAACATAATCTTGTTGTTTTTGACAAAAGATAATCATTATATTGATTAGAAAAAAGATCATTGCATCCTGGAATTTAATCAGGTCAGAAAATCAAATAAGCGACACGTAGTCACATAGAATGAAAGGGCCTTTCTAGCCACCAAATGGGATACCCTATTACTACTCTGACCTACAAATCGCACAATAAGCCCATTGTGAATCGCCAAATAACCCAGGATCTCCTCAATGATGGTTCATATTCGATTATCGCGAGAATCAGACTGATTTATTTTATCAATGACCACTTTGGCGTCTCCTTCGAATCTTGTCTCCATGAACCCATTCCCCAGACACCATAGAATAGCCTCACAGAGAACGAGCAAAGCGACAACAATAGGATTGTCAATAACAGAAAACTGCACCCCGCCCTCCTTGGTTCAATTAACGTGATCTTGTTAACACGAGAAAAAAGTAAAAGAATGAAGAAAGAGTTGAGGGAAATGAGTTGGGTTTTAATTTGTGTGGTCTTAATTTGTCAATAACAGAAAACTGCACCCCGCCCTCCTTGGTTATAATTTGATTCATTTATTTTTTATATTTAAAAAAATATCTATAATGGGACAGGTATGAGTATGGGTAAGAGACAGAGAGACTAAAACCATACCAATTCATACCCATCAAATGTTTTGCGTGCTTTGATTTGATCGGCATCGGTTCGAATACTTGATGGGTTTGCTTATCATTCGTAATACTTTCATTTTCAATCTGTTGAAGCTCCAATCAGCTTTTGCTGCCTAGATGAATATGGTGAGACGGTGCAGAATCATACTCCGCCGGAACTCAGCTACATGACAAACAAGAAAAAAATTCAATCATTTTCCGTCGGAGAAACCAATAGCATTCTCTGCACATCGTCGCCGTTTGTCCACAAACCCCCCAACGCTCTGTGTCTTCTTGAATCATTCCTTCCACCAGCTGCCGGCGGCTCACAAACTACAATATAAAAAACGCCGTCCCTGCAGGCAGAAGCAGAGTCACACAAAATATCCCAAACCCAATAAACTCCAACCACTGCTTGTCATTCTTCACGTCACTTCCAGGGTGAATGAACTCGTCTGATTCCCACCAACACTACTTCCATGGCGGACGGCTCAATCCATTCTATAAATACATTCGTCCTAAATGTGAACAAAATAGAGCAAAGCATTAACATCAGCCCCCTAAATATGAAGAGTCTGATTGGCTTCCTGTCTTCTCTGGTTCTGATCGCCTCTGCGATTTCACCAGCAAGTTCGAGCTCTGTTGCTAATAAGTTAATTGAATGCATAGCCAACAACAACATCAACCCGAGCTCGTTCCAAACCATATTCAACCCTGAATCTTCTCTATTCTCGCTCCTTCTCCAATCAAGAGTCCAAAACCTGAGATACATTAACTCCACCACCAAGCCGCTCCTCATTCTGACTCCTTCCGACGATACCCAAATCCAATCCGCCCTACTCTGCAGCAGGGAACAGGGGATTGAGATCAGAGCCCGCTGCGGCGGCCACGATTACGCAGGCATTTCATACCTCAGCGACAAGCCTTACATCGTCATCGACCTCTTCAATCTCAACGAAGTACAGGTCGATGTCAAGGAAGAGACGGCGTGGGTCCAAAGCGGCGCTCAGCTTGGAGAGCTCTACTACGCGATCGCGAGGCAGAGCACCCATCTCGCTTTCCCGGCGGGACTCTGCCCCACGGTTGGAGTCGGAGGCCACTTCGGCGGTGGCGGGTTCGGTACTCTGGTCAGAAAGTACGGCCTGGCCGCGGATAATGTGATCGATGCTTACCTGATGGATGCTCGTGGCAGGATTCTGAACAGAAAGGCAATGGGGGAAGAGGTTTTCTGGGCAATTAAAGGCGGCGGAGCGGGAAGCTTCGGAATTGTGCTGTCGTGGAAGGTGAAACTAGTCAGAGTTCCTCAGAAATTGACATACTTCACTGTTACCAAGACGCTGGAGGAAGGCGCGAACAAGCTGATCCATCAATGGCAGAGATTCGCACACGACGTGCACGAGGATTTGTTCGTCAGGATTTTGCTTCTCAACGTCGGCGGAGGAGACGACAAGAAGAAGAAGACGGTTCAAGCAAATTTCCAGGCTCTGTTTCTGGGAACAAAAGACAGAGTCATCCCTCTGATGAACAAGAGCTTTCCGGAATTGGGCCTGAAGGCAGAGAACTGCACGGAAGGGACATGGGCCGATTCCGTGCTCAATTTCGCCGGATTCAAGCCCGGAGTTCCACCGGAAGTATTGCTGGACAAAACCCAGATGTTCAAGGCCAAGTTCAAGGCTAAAACCGACTTCGTGACAGAGCCGGTACCGGAATCGGCATTCGAAGGGATATGGAAAATGATGCTGGAGGAAGATGTGCCAATTGTGATTCTTGAACCTCTTGGCGGGAAGATGAACAAGATCCCTGAATCCTACACTCCATTCCCGCACAGGAAAGGGCATTTATATAACATTCAGTACCTGGTGAAGTGGGATAAGAATGGGAAGGAGGAAGAAGAGAGGCACTTGGAATGGATGAAGAGGCTTTACGATTACATGGAGCCTCATGTTTCCAAGTCCCCTAGGGCGGCTTATCTCAACTACAGGGACCTTGACATAGGGATGAACTCGGCCGGCGGGAAGACGAGCTTCTCGGAGGCGAGTGTATGGGGGCAGAGGTACTTCAGGGACAATTTCAAGAGGCTGACAGAAGTGAAGGGCATGTTCGATCCAGAAAATTTCTTCAGGAATGAACAAAGCATTCCTCTGCTTCATAAGTGAACAAAAATATGAGTTAATGGCATCTCAGTTGCAACCTAGAGGCATGTATGATGGTTAATCTACTATGTCTAAGTGTTGTTTGTTTAGACGATCTTTGATATCCGTTGTTTAAATTCTGATTCAGATTTGGTTAAAAAAATCATAATGTAACAAATGTTGTCATTCCATGTTATAATTAAGGATAACTACAATGTCAAGTGTTGTTTAGGAGAAATTATATGATACAAAATTATCATAACGTTGTCAGCGACCATGTCTTACTTTCTCGTCCCATTTGGAAGAAAGTAGAAACCTCGTATCATCCCAGTTTTTTTATCCATCTTACTACTTACTCATCATGGTTCTTCAAGCTAATAATTTGATATATTTAGCCGATGGAAAAAGCCAAAATCAGATACACCAACGACAATCATGAAGATTCACATTTCCAAATGACAATAATCAAATCAGGCAAGAAAACGAGATATACGAACAAACGAAAAATCAAAAAACAAAGGAAGGAGCATCAAATGGAAAGACGAAACGACCAACCTACTTTGAAATCGGACATATAACCAAGGGGAGCCATCAACCCCACATCGAAGCAATCAAGTAGAAAGATGAAATCAGCACAACAATGACAATAATGAAGAATCGCCGATCCAAACAAAAACAATCAAATCAAACAGGAAAACAAGACTAACGAATGGAAAATCAAACAACAAGGTATGAACATCAAATGAAAAGGTAGAAACATCTTATTTGGTTGGGAATGTTGCCATTAAAGTACAGTCATTTTTTATTCATAAAATAAAATGAAATGATTAGAAAATCAAAGTTGAGAGAATATTCTTAGCCTTCAAGTGTTTTTATTCTTGTACGACTAAACACGAGTAAAAATTCTAATATGTGTTTCTACATACTAAGAACTTTGAGAGATAGAGAGATTGTTGATTTGGTAAAGGCAGACCCTTAAGGAAGAAGGGTTGTTGCTGCTTCTTTTATATAAGCTCGAAAAACACATTAACCGTACTAATATGGTTTTGCCACGTGTCAAGTAAACACTGGTCATTACAAACATAAAACACTGTTACTTACGGCTAGCAACTAAAGCTACACGACTACTTTTTGATGGCTAAGGAAACCCTCTGAACATTAAACGCCACCATCTTGTATCTCTGCTTCCTTCCTCTGCTCCGTTCCCTCTACTCCACAATCATTTCTTCACAAGGATTCAACAACTTGACGTTGTCCCCCCCCCCCCCCCCCCTTCAAGTTGTGGATGTCACTTTGACTCCCAACTTGACTAGAAACTCCTTCAATCTTGTGTTGTCCAATGCCTTAGTGAACAAGTTTGCAAGTTGATTCACAGTTCCAACATGCTGCAGTTTAATCAAACCGATTTGATCCTCTCCCCTGTCACATGCATATCAATTTCTATGTGTTTTGTTCTCTCATAGAACACTAGATTTTCAACAATATGAATTGATGAACGATTGTCACAGAAAATGGATATAGGTAATGGAACCTGCACACTTAGCTCTGCAATTAGAGTTCTCACCATTGCACCTCACAAACTAATAGAGCTAAAGCTCTATATTCTATCTCTGATGATGACCTTGACACAGTGGTTTGCTTCTTTGTCTTCCAAGTCATAAGTGAACTTCCAAGAAAAGTACAATAACCAATTGTTGACCTTCTGGTATCAGGGCAACTTGCCCAATTCGAGTCACAATAGCCTGTCAATTTCAATTCAGGCTGACTACTGAAATGTATACCTTGCCTAGGTGAATTATTCAAATATCTCAGTACCTTGTAAGCTGCTTGTAGATGATCTGTGTGTGGATCCTTCTAGAACCGGCATAACTGTTGCACTGCATATGTCAAATCAGGTCTGGTTATAGTCACATAGTGCAGCCTTCCAATCAGCCTTCTATATGACTCAAGATCATCCAATCTTATTCCTTGTCCTGCTGACAATTTGGTTTTGGTATTTGCTGGTAAGACAGTACCTTTAGCCTCAAGATATCATGTTTCTTCCAGTAGATCCAAACTGTACTTTATTTGACAAACAGACAAGCCTTCATCTTATCTAGTCACTTATAGTCCCAAGAAGTACTTCAGAGGACCTAAGAGTTTGATTTTATACTCCTTGCTCAGAGCCTTCTTAACCTGCTCAATGTCCTTGGGTGCATTACCTGCCACTATTATATCATCTACATAAACTAGCACAATTACTGTTCTACCTCAAATCCACTTAGTAAACATAGAGTAGTTCGAGCTTGACTATGAAAATCCATTCCTCAATAAGAAGTTAGTCAACTTGGTAAACCATTGTCTGGATGCCTGATTTAATCTATACAACGATTTCTTCATACGACAAGCTACCTGCCCTAAACAAGATGGTGGCAAAACAACTCCTAGTGGTACTTTCACGTACACCTCTTTAGTTAATCACCCTATAAGAAAGCATTAGAAACATCCATATGTTCTAGACTCCAGTTTTTAACCGCTGCCACTGCCAACAGGGCCTTCACTGTATTAATCTTTGCTACAGGAGAATATGTTTCCAAGAAATCCGCACCATATACCTGTGTAAAGCTTTTTACAACTAATCTGACTTTGTACCTTTCAATGGTACCATCAGGTTTCAATTTGACCTTGAACACCCATTTGTAACCAATGGCTCTCTTGTTTGGTGGCAAAGATACAATGCCCCATGTATGGTTTTCCTCCAGTGCAGCTAGCTCATCATCAATAGCTCTCTTCCATTCTACATTCTTTACTGCTTCATCATAACTCATTGGTTCCATATGTGTGATCACACTCATTGCATATTTCTTATCTTCTATGCTAAGATGATCCACCTCCAAGCAAATGGGATACTTGGTTACTGAGGCGGTTGTACCAAAACCACCAAACTATAGTCTTGTGCCTAGCTCACAAGTCTTGGTATTTAGCAGGAAGATGATGGTGTCTGGTGGGCCTAGCAGGTGGTTCATAATTAGCTTGAGGGTCAAGTTCAGGATCATGTTCACCATAATCCGTAGAAGGTGAATCATGATTCAGATCATGTGGAAGTTCTGGTTGAGAAGAAGACTGAGACTGTGATGTAGATGTTACCCCCTATCAATGCAGTTAAAAGTGCGATTCTACCTAGAAGCGGAAAGGGGTAAAATCATAAAACGTAGAATTAAAGCGTAGAAGCGTAAGTTTTTTACGCATACTGTAGAATAACTACAAAAAATCTTAAGTACGACATATATTATGTAAAATATGAGTGCAAATAATTTAGATAAGTTAATAAATATTTGCAATTCATTCATAAAGTAGAGGAACTTATAACATTTTAATAATTAGTTAATAAACATAAATCTTAACAATAAGTCACATTCCCTTCTATGCTAATGAATTTGGGAAGAGTCTAGCTGGTGAAATAAACTACACTATTGAAACTGAGAATGCACCTAAGTACCTGGTATTATTTTATAATCTCAAATGTATCATATTGTTGGTAATCTACGTTTAAAATATACTTTTATAATTAATTTCATGAAAAGAGTACTCATTTGGTGAACTAAAAGCGTAAAACGTTTTAGTGAACTAGAAGCGTGAAACCGTAAGCTTTTAAGATTTAAAGCGCAGTTTAGTCTGATTTTAAGATTTAAAGCGTGAAACCATATTGGGACATAGAAAACATCACAACGAGAGACTTTAGTAGCTGTTACAGTGGAATTAGATTGATGTAACAAGGAAATCATATCACTACTAGGATGGCCTAATCTCCAATGCCATAGATCAAATTGTTGTGTACTAAAATTAATGGTGTTCTTGCTTGTGGTGGTGGTGAGAGTTGGTTAGAAGCTGGTGGTGGTTGAAAAGAGAGTTCATAAAGACCTCTAGTCTCTCTTGCCAAACCAATCATCCTCTTTCTGAGTAGGTCCTGAATTTGGCATAAATCAAAATAAAAGTGTAAGGCTAGAGGGAAATCTTTAGTGAGCTTACTAACTGACATGAGGTTGAAAGAGAAACCGGGGACTAGAAGAACATTGTATAAGTAGAGACGAGAAGGAAGTTTCAATGTCCCAATATGAGTGACATGAACCTTAGTACCATTAGGAAGGTGAACATATGTGTTGTGGACTAGCTTATGTTCAACAAACAGTGCTAAGGAATATGAAATACGATCTGAAGCTCCTGTATCTAGAATCCAAAAGTTAACTAGATTTGGGAAACGATTGTCATCATGAGCAGACATGACATATTTACCTGAATGATTTGGGAATGGTGGCATATATTGGGACAATGAGAAGACATTGTGTGAAATGGAAGGGGAAAGAGGTGGTTAAACGACATTGTTAGCACTAGATTGCATCATGAGCCTCAATCTAGTCATTTTTTCAGGAGTAAAGCCAACAACAGAGTTAGCAACACTTACTAGGCTACCTCAAGATGAATCCCCAGTCACACTACCTTTAGTATGTGAGTCTTCTGAACTCCCTTGTGATACTAAGCCAGCAAAACCTGGTGTGCTGCTCTGTGATCCACTGGACTTGTTACCAGCTGCTAGTTCTTTATCCCTTCTCTTCTTCCTCCAGCAGTCATCAACAATATGATTAGTCTTCTTGCAATAGACACAATATCTCCTGTCTTGAGTCTTTTGAATGATGGTGTGTCTGAGTTCACAGCCAGAGCAACAGTCTGAGCTCTCTTTCCATTATCTTCTCCTTTCAGCATTTGTTCATGTTGTAACAAGTCATCCACTACTTCTTAGACACTTGGGAGTGATTTCTGCATAAGTATCTGGGTTTTCACAACTTCAAAATCTGGGTTTAGACCTCGAAGAAACCAAATTAAATAATCTGCCTCCTGGTTTTCTGTGTAAGCAGTAACAGCATCAAAAGGATTTGGGTTCTCTGGAACACAATTAGAGGGGACAATAGGACTAAACAACGAGTATTCTTCTCAAAGCCGCTTGATCTTGGTGTAGTAATCATTAATAGACATATTTCCCTGCTTACAACGTTGAATATCATCTTCCAGATTGATGATTCTTACAACATTTTGTTTACCAAATATGCGTTTCAGTTCATCCCACAATACTTTTGCATTCACATGATTCATAACTGACATTCTCAAGTCTTTTGAATTCAGAATCCATGACAAGGCAGCAGTGTTAAAACCATCCCACGGCAGGAATTTATCATTATTCACAGCAGGCATAGCATAGCCGCATAGGTATAGTACCATCGATGAAACCCATTTTGTGCTTCATCTTCAAACCCATCACTATAGATCTACTCCACATTGTATAATTGGTTCCATCAAACACTTTTGTACCAATTGATTGATTCAATGCCTCGTCTGGGTTAAGGTAAAAGTGGTTCCAAAGGTGATTACCTCAGATCTGGGTTGGTTTTGTTGCTGCTGACCATCAAAGGACCCAAACTGAAAGTTCGTTGCAGTCGAGTCACCAAAACCATTTCCTCGTCCTTGAGGTGTAGTTGGAGATGCGCCTGACAATGAGCTTACCCTAGATCGTCACCGCTCTGTACCCTAAGAACTTTTAGAGAGATAGAGAGATTGTAGAATTGGTGAAGGCATACCCTTAAGGAAGAAGGATTGTTGCTGCTTCTTTTATATAAGCTCGAAAAACACATTAACAGTACTAATATGGTTTTGCCACATGTCAAGTAAACACTTGCCATTACAAACATAAAACACTGTTAATTAACGGCTAGTAACTAAAGCTACGCGACTACGTTTTGATGGCTCAGGAAACCCTTTGAACATTAAACGCCACCATCTTGTATCTCTGCTTCCTTTCTCTATTTCGTTCCTCTGCTCCACAATCCTTTCTTAACAAGGATTTAGCAACATGATGTTGTCACATACAAATTAAGGTAATCTAATAGTGAAAACGAAATAACAATCGAATAAAAACTTCTTTGTTATAGATAAAGGCGAATAATATTAATAGAAAAAACAAATTGTACAACGGCTGGCAGAGAAGCCTGCAAAAGACTTGCAAGCGACAACAAACCAACAAAAAACGAAAAACAAACTAACTAATAAGAGAGAAGAACTCCAAAGGCACCACAATACGAACAAAGCACCACCTAGAAATACCACAAGGCTTGCAGAAGAACCAACACGGAAAACGCAGAACATATTAGACCAAGGACTGAGTTGATGATGTCAACCACGAAGCACAGCCTGTGAAAAGAAGATGGGTAATACTTTGCTGCAACCTAGGTTGCCGCCTGCTCCTGCTACACCTCCACATGTTGTCTCCTCATTGGCTATCTTTTTTTTTCATTTTCCAAAAACTTCAAAATCCCATTTAATTTGATTGTTTATCATATACGTACTATCAACCCGATTCTTGGCAAAATACGGGCAGAAATACGGTCGTAATTCACTCATGCCCGTATTTTGCCCAAAACGCGCGTTTTACTTAAGTTGATGGGGTATAGATACGGTCGTATTTAGGGAGATACCGCTAGTATTTAACAAGTTACGGTCGTAATCCTTCAGGAGACAACCGTATTTTGCACCCTGAATCGCCAAATGACCTCCAAAAATGACCCGAAACTTGCGCCCTTTGCCTCCTTTTACCTGCTAGGACCCATCATGTGACAAAATAGCACAACCTAGCGTAAAATAGGCCAATGAACCACAAATTCGAGCTAAAACGGTCAGGAAACTAGATTGAAAACATGTGCAAATACGACGCTATCAGGTATACATCTTCTTAGAAACACATCATGTTTGACAGAAAAAGGGGGGATCCAATTATCGCTTAGAACCCGATTTTCTCAGGAAATGGGAGGATCATGTTGATCGCTTAAGACCCCATTTCCTTAGACATGCATTTCCTTATAAAGAGTCTAAATAAGTGTTGTATTGTATTGATTTAAATTATTGAGAATAATCAATACGATTAAAAATTAAGAAAATTATTTTACAAACCAATAAATTACGTTAACATAATAAAATTTACAAGTGATGATAAATAATATGTACCTTGTGGTCGTTCCAAACATCCCTTGAACGATGATTAGCTTGGTAGTATGACACAGTGGAATCAATCGATCATTGATCAACATAATATCGTTGATTGTATATATTAACATCCTCCCCAATCTACGATAGCATAACAACAACATAAATCAATTAGTATATAGATTAAATAAAATCATTACAACAACAACAAAAATTAGGTAAAATGAGTACGGACCGCTTGATAGTCATCATAGTAAATACCCTCTTCTTCGAGAAAATCGGCCATTTTTCAGGAACCGGACATAGATTCGACGGTTTTTAATGAAAACCAAAGAAAAGTTTTTTGAGGGCAGATCGGACTTAGCCGCAACCAACAAACCACTATTTCCAAGGTTTCTAGATGGAGAGGGGGATGGGTAGAGTGATAAACTTAGAGAGAGGAGATTGGTGTTGGTGTGAAGAAAATGAGAGGAAGGAGGTGGGTATTTATAGGTGGAGGACCGCCTGTGGGGGGGGGGGGGGGGGTTGATATTTTTACCCCACCAAAAATCGCACCTCCAGCGCACGGTTTTCGTTTCCCAACGGGCAAACAGCGCCCTCGGGGAACGGTTATTAGTGGTGGATGCGGATCGCTCCGTAGCAGGCGGTTAGCCGTCAGATCGTCTCCCAATCCAACGGTTGCATGCACCGCCATGTGGAGGAGCGATTTTGCATATGCCCGGTGGAGAACCGCTTGTTCCCCGCGCGGTTTGAAGGAGAATCGCGCCTTCGAGGCGCAGTTTTTGATTAATGTGGTAGTTTTTGAATTTTGTTCGATTGGGTGGTAGTTTTGTAGAAAAAATTTAAAGGATGGTAGTTTGGGGGGAAATCCAATAAAAAGGAGTTAGCATTGATATAAGTAAAAGTTACAAGAGATTAGAAGAAGCACGTGAATGGTTAGATTTCAAACCCAAATTATTGATTGATTAGAAATATTAAAGTCGCAAGAGCGTATATTATCGCTTCCGAATTTTCATATTAAGATAGCTAATTTATGTAAGCATGTCTATCCATACGAATTGAGATAATTCAATCATGTAAAGTAAAGCTCAGAGCAAGGACTCTTGACAAACGAGACAAATTATAACACTCAACACAACTTGAACTCGACAACTCTGCAACTCAAGCTCGAACGGCCGGAATGCTCTGTTCATGCCTAAACAAGTTTTGAGGGTCGAACTTGGCCTTGATCTTCACCAATCTGCCGAAGTTATTCTTGAAATACCTGCGACCCCAAACATTTGCCTCGCTAAAACTCGCATTCCCCTTCTTGTTCACACCCAAATCTAGATCCCTGTAGTTCACATACGCAGTCCTCGGCGACTTGGAAACATAGGGAGCCATGTACCTGTACAGCTCCCTGATCCAATCCATGTGTCTAGCAGAGCTCACATTCCCGTCAAGCGAAGCAGTCAGCCACTGGATCATGAACAACGTCCCCTTCCGGTGAGGAAACGGCGTCGCCGATTCCGAAATCCTTCCCATCTCCCCGCCAAACGGATTCCATATCGACAATGGAAAGTCCTCCTTGAGAAACCTTCTCCATATCCCTTCAATCGCCTTCTCCGGGATCGGCTCCCTGACGAAGTCCGACTTGGCCTTGAAGAACCCCGCGGCAGCGAAGGACTTCCCCTGGAGGAGGAACTCGGGAGCAACGGTGGCCGGGATCCCTGCAATGAACAGAATCGATTTAATCCAGCTCGTTTCAACGCAATCCTTCTTCGTCAGGCCCAGCTCCGGGAATTTTGAACCCATGATGTTGAGAAGCCGATTGGAATTTCCGAGAAACAGAGCGTTGTAGGTTGTTGTGACGGTTCTCTTGGTGGAATTGGCGATCGGGGTAGCCAAAATCAGAACTCGAATGAACAGCTCGTCGTTGAGCAGAGGAGCGATTTGCTGCCATTTGTACAGAAGCTTGGTGGCGTTCTGTTCCAATGTCCTGGGAACATTGAACACCGTCACGGTTTTGGGGACGGTGACCAATTTCAACTTCCAGGCGACGATTACTCCGAAGCTTCCCCCGGCGCCGCCTCTGATCGCCCAGAAAACGTCCTCCCCCATTTTCCGGCGGTTCAGGAGGTTTCCATTAGCATCGATTATGCGGGCGTCGACGACATTGTCGACCCCCAGGCCGTACTTTCTCATCATGGAGCCATAAGCTCCGCCGGTGATGTGTCCGCCGATTCCCAAGCTGGTGCAGAGCCCGGCTGGGAAGCCGTGGGTGGGGCTCTTCTGCGCGATCCGGTAGTAAGCCTCGCCGACGGTGGCTCCGGCCTGAACCCAGGTTGTGTTGGAAGCGATGTCGACGTCCACCTTGCGGAACCGGGAGAGGTCGAGAATGAGAAAAGGGGACTCTGTCTCGGCGGCGTAAGAGAGGCCCTCGTAGTCGTGGCCGCCGCTGCGAACCCGGAAGTGGAAGCCGAGCTTTCCGGCGCAGATCACGGCGGCTTGGACGTGGGAAATGCGGAGCGGGCGGAAGATGAGCAGCGGCTTGGGGACGGAAGGGAGCAAGTAGCGGAGGTTCTGAGCAGGGTTTGAAAGAACAGAGGTGAAAACAGAGGAATTGGCGGCAGGGGAGAAGAGGGTTTTGGAGAATGGGACTGGGTTCTTGGAGTTATTGTTGAGACATTGCTGAAAGGCGGATTGCAATGGAAGTGGGAGTGAAAATGTGAGGGAAGGTGCGAGGAGAGGGAGGAGGACGAAGAGAAGCAGGGGAGAAGCCATTTTCGTTTCGATTGAAGCTTGTGGGTCTGAATGTGGGAGAGTGGGGGAATTGGGTATATATGGAGTAACAGAGTGATTGCATGCACGATCTGAAGTCAATCTCTTGTCTATGGGAAATAAAGGATCTTGCAGAAGAAATGGTTTAATGTCGATTGTCGATTAGGGTTGATATGTTTGTTTATTCGCAGCGTGATGCGTCAACAGAGATCGTCCAAAAAGAAGCATTTGCGCGCGTTGCAAGTAATCGAACACCAAGTTAGTAATTAGTACACTACAAGGATTAGGGGGCTAGGTGGGCTTTATTTCGTGAAATGTGGAACCAAAATATTGGAACAGGGGGTTTGCTTAGAACTATAAAATGTTGTGTAGGAAAAGGGGACATTTACGGTTAAGACCATTCAAATTTAAAGTCATTGTAATTACCTCTTTTCTAGTTGTAATTCAAGAAATATTTATTTTCAAAACATGATCGTGGCTCATCATATATCTTTGAGAAATGAGAGATCTGAACGAGATAATGATATTGGTTCAAAGCAGAATCTCGATTAAAATAAAGTTTGGCTGAGCAGGTTATATCATTGAGCTTCAGAATGAACATGTTGAACTTGAAGGAGAGTATGTTCCACTTGGTTACGTGCCTAAAGTAGTAGGATGAATGGAAATTCTTGGTGTGGAACTATCGATTTGGAGTACATTATGGTAGATAGAAAATCTTCTCATTTGACTTCGTTAAGCACCGATTTATACGAGCAAAGATGAGAACTCCCAAATTTTTTGTAAAAGTTGTCATGCGATTGAAGGAATCGTATCTTATCATTCTCATTTTTTCGTTAATGTGGGAAGTAAGAAGATTATTTTCCTAACTCCATATATAATAGACTTTTGACGCGAAATATGATAGAAGGGTATGTATATTAACTCCAAACTAATAAGGTTGTGTTCCTTGAAAATACAAAGGTGTGTTTTTTAAAGTGACCTAAAATAAAGGGTGCAAAGTAGCCATTAGCCCTTAAAATTTCCATATGACCAGAAGACTTGCACCAGTTAATCAGAAAATAAAATAAAGTTGACTTGCAGCTTAGGAAGACTTGAGATGGTAGTGCAACGTGGTTCATTAAATTTGCAGCCTAAGGGAGACTTGGAAATCGGTTCTAGACCAATAATCCCGATTATAAAAATTCACTTGATTTTTCATGCTCAGTCTCTAGTCAAACTTATTGAAGGAAAATTCTGGTATTGGCTATTCCCCAAATTCTTGTTTACTCAGCTTCCCAGCTAAAGTATTGTATATTACCAATTTATTATTCTTAACCACATATTTTGATCTAATTTTTGAACTTATTCAAAAAATACAACTTGAAAGAATAAAAATTAAAACCGGTAGATGGCAATCAACTTGAAATGATACAACTGACGAAGTTCTGAATAATCATGAGAAGTTGATTTGATAATTTTGGAGATTTATCGAAGAATTTAAATATTTGGATAAATTCGTTTCTCTTCAATTTTTAAACATATATTTTTTATTCAATAGTTACCAAGAAATTTCAATAGGTTCTAAAAGTTCATACTACCGAGATAAAAACAAAAATACAAAGAATGTCACAAAATCAAGCATAGACAAAAACGAAAATTGAGCCCTACCAAATTGGGGAATAAGAAAAGAGTTTTATGTCACAAATGAGTAACCATATTACCAAAATGGCCAACAAAACACACCCTAATTACTTGGCAAAAGTAATTCCAAAGTAACTATATAAAAATTTAGGGTTAAAGGTAGTTCATTTTCTTGAGTTCTTTCTTGTACTTACATTTTATTCTCAAACTTGTCTACGTATAAGAAAAACACAAACTTATGGACCATAATCGTAATGTAGACAAAACTCGATAATCTCATCATCCAAGTCCCAACTTATCATCGTTATTCTTATCTTCCTAGTGCATATATAGTATCGTCATTTTCATCGGTAAGTCATCTCTACGAGCCACCCACATGACACAAAAACTATCATATTTTTCATATTACATGCCTCTTCACCTTATAGCCGAGCATAATTCAAACCTCACCGAATTCAAGTAACTATCATGGGTTCACATAGAACATATTCAAAATCTGACCTTTATATAATCTTTGGAAAATAGACGACGCCAGTAACTTGCATTCTTGTAAAATAGGGGTCACAATCTTGCTTGCCTAACACGCATCCTTCCTTTCTCTCACTTTGCTCAAGTGACTTTGGCACCTTAAGGAACGAGTTAGAAGTGGAACCCTAATCCAATCTATCTTACTTTGAGGAGTGAGTTATAACTTAATAAGTAGAACCCTAATACAATTTATCTACTTGTAACTTCACTTAGCTGTTAAAATACTTACTACAAAGTCCTTTTTGTTAAACTTGCATTTGCATATATAGTACGGGGGATCTAAAATGGCCTTAAATTAACCCTAATTGATGATAACTGTGCTAGTTGCAGCGTGAAACGCTTAAACAAACAAAGCTTGTGGGTAGGTAGCCTTGCATTATCCACGGGTTGACCCTGAAAGCTAGGGTAATCTGCCCCCCGGTTCACGGTAGCGTCCAATGGGCGACGACCTTCCCAAACTATACTCAGTCTCTAGATGCACTCTTTTCAATATAAGGAACGTGAGTGGTAATTACTAATTAGAGGCCAAATGGCATCCCAATGGCTTCATAATTCGTACAAAATTCAAAATATTGAATCTTTTCAACGTTCTAAAACGAGTAACAACAGCTCCAGTTTAACTAACATTCTGTCCGGCCGATACTTCCATCTAAACGAACAAAGGAGTTTGTTGATTGAAAGCTCAGAGAATGATGCGAACTTACGGGCAGCCGCTTGAAGCGAGGATCATTGGAGGAGGAGGAGGAGGAAGAAGAAGCAGAAGAAGAAGCAGAAGAAGAAGTCAACCCTTGATAACACGGACTTGTTTCTTAGCTAAATGATCAAGTCACAGTCGCCAGATTATCCCATCTCCATATCCGGTCGTGTAAAGTAGTTTGTCAATTGTCAAATACTAACATAAAGAGGGTGGAGGGGTACTTCGGTAAAGTAGATAGAGAACGGGCATATGGTTGATTGAGCTTTAAAAATCTGCTTCATTTCACGATATTGAGAATCTCCGCTACAAATAAACATAACCCATTGGAGGATCTGACCTTGAGATTGCTCGGAATGCAAGAGACGATGCCGGTATAGAGTGAAGTTAATTAGTAATCGGTCGAGGACGATGTCGGTATAGACTAAACTGTATCTAATGAAGAGGTATAGACTAAACTCTCTCTAATGAAGATGAGGGTGTGGAGAACCTATGGTTATTTTAAAGAATTCAAGGTTGACGGCCGAGCTGTATATCGAGGAAGTATTAAAAAATAAATTTTAGATGCCAAATTATAAAATATAAAAAGTATATGTACTAAATTATAATTTTTCATTTGGATCCATGGATCAATCAATGAATCCACCAATCCAATAGGATTTGAATCAAATGAATTGAATTAGTTAGATATTTAAGTAGATGGATTGGATTGAATTGATAATTTGCCACCTCTAATAGTTGCTAATCCCCATAGCTTGTCAGTGTTATTTTGAATTTATATTCATTTGGCACATTATTCAGAATTAATCAACCCGAGCTTATCAGTGTTATTTTGTATTTATATTCATTTGGCACATTATTCAGGATTAATCAATAAAATTATCAAAATCACTAGTTTCTTTCTCTCGGAGTCGTCCTATATCGACCCCTTCTTCCTCAATTATCCCCAATTCTCTCTCCCGTCTTCCCCCAACCCCAATAGCAACTGAATTCACGTAGGACGGCCTATGGCCTAAGTTCTGGTCTCTTTTAGTGGTGCCATCGGCCTGGGCTTGTTTCCCTGTTTTTCAAAGGAAGTCTGGGCCTATTTCTTCATTCCATACCATTAGCATCCCGCACACCACTCTCCCGTTAATGTGCAAAGGACTAGAGAAGCCCACTATATGTTGATCAAGCCCAAAACGCCTCAATCGCTAACATCCTGGCCTCAATGTGCAAAGGACTAGATAAGCCCACTATTTTTAGGCATCTGAATGGCTCTGTTGTCTTTTCTATTGCTTTAAACCTTCCCATATAGTTTAATGGTAAAACTGTTGCGATAGTGAAGAATTGAGAGTTGCAGATCTCAAGTTCAATTCAAGCGAGACTCGTTGGTGTTCCCGAAGGTATAAGGCTGCTGGAGGCGAAGCCTCGTTGGTGTGGTGTCAAATTGATTGCAAGTGGCTCCCAAATTTAGTAGGCCCCGCTGTCACAAAGTGACACGTGTGGCTAGTGATGGCAATGGGGCGGGGCGCGTAAAACCCTCGCGGATACGGGGCGGAGCGGGTCGACCCACTCTTACATGTTGTTCAAATAAAATACAAGTAAATTTTACTTTTTACAATAAAACGTAGGGAAAAACACTTTAAGAATGAAAAAATATTGATAATAGAATGGATAATTGAGCCTAACAAGTTGAAAGATCGACTCTAACTAGTTGAAAAAAAGTCAAAATAGGAGAAATATATATAGATATTGTAAGAAATTGAGATAAAATGAGTCTAGAACGGGGCAGGGCTGGTCGGAAGTAGATACCCATGCCCCGCCCCACGCTACTGCGAGTCGGGTAATACCCGCCCCATCGCGGGTCAGGTAGGATAATACCCGCGGGACGGGTTGAAATTGCCATCACTACTTGTGGCTGAGGTTTCTGGGTATAAAAAAAACTTCTCAAACAACAAACAAAGTGTGGCTCTATCATTGCGTGCCCCTTGAAGTACGCACTGAGTTCGAACAATTAACCAAAAAATGAATGATAGTATGTTAAGTGAGATTTATTATTTGTTATGAATCGATAAATGGAAGTGATGTTTTTTTTTGTCTCAAACTCGATAACAATTTTGGTTTTTTTAATAATGGTAAGATTCAATAACAATTTAACGTAATTTAACGATTATATCCA